TTCCAGTGGCAAGGTGCCCAGCCCCAGAGGATGAATCCAGATTGGCTGAAGCCCCCCGGTTGGCAGCTCATTACCTTCACCAGTGAAAGGGTGGCCATGGTCACGTGACCTGATTCTGGCTGACAGCTACAAGGGGATTCTGCTGTAAGAAGCCTCCAGCATTTCCCCCAGGTTTAAACACTAGGGGGAAGCTCAGGAGGGTAGCCCTTTCTCTTCCATCCCCTACCTTAGCTATTTGGTGCCAAGGGAGTTTCAGACCAGGGCCCTGGAAAAGTAGAGAACTGCCAGCACAATCTGGCACCAAGGTGCGAGCCATGAACTGCCCAAGTCCGCTGTATTCCAGGCTTCTCTTACTATACGAGCTAATCCAATGCTGCCATTAGATCATCACGGTTAAGCAGCCACATCAGGCGTCCCATTACCTGCCATCTAAAGCATATCTACTCTTAGGCATGGTGATGCATGCTCATAATATCAGCACTGAGGAGGCTGAGGCAGGAGGACTACAAGTTTGAAGTCAGCCTAGGCTACATAGTGAATTCAAAGTCAGTCTGGGCTATGTAATGAGACCTTGTCTGACGACTGGCCTGTTTTTCATTATTATAATCAAATACTAGAGACCGGATATTTTATAAAGAAAAGAGATTTAGCACACTCTTGTAGACCGAAAGTGCAAGATCAGGCAGCCTCTTTCTTTTGCCTCTGGTCATGACCTATTGGCAGATGGTATGATGGCAGGAAGGGAGAGGAAGAGAGAGAAGCAGAGGATAAAAGGGGAGGCAATGAATCACAGCACCATCAGGAAGTCAGAACAGGGGGCATCCTATATTCTAAAGGTCGGCATGTCTAAGACTGACCTAAGGACTTCAACTGGGCTCTACCACCTCTTAAAGACCCGCGCCGCCTCCCAGCATTGGCATCCTGGCAACTAGGCTCTCAGTGCATGAACCTTTGGGGGATATCTCGAGTGACATCCTAACCCTAGCATCAACCAGGAGTGGCCTCTGCATCAGCCTACTTGCCTCTCATTACACATGCCATTAGAAAAAGGAGGCTGAGGAGCAAGAAGCTGAAGAAGTCGGATGGCAGCTTATACATGTCGGGGCCAGGTCTCAAACTCCCTTCATGGGATGAACACCATGTGCAGCATTGCCTGGCTTGGTTTCGGTTCCATGGTAGCATTCAGTCAGCTTCCAGAGGACCTCAATCCCCTTTCAGGAGCCTGCCTCGTGTCCGTCCATTCCCTCCCCCCCCATCTTCAAAGTCAGCCTGGAAATGACCAATTCCACAACTCTAAAGTGTCTTTGGAGAGAACACCCCACACAGTTGGCTTCTTCTAAACACATTGCTATTATTACGAAGCTCTCCCAAATGGCAGCATTTAAAAAAAAAAAAGTTTTAAAGGCAAAGGGAACAGCAGAAAGAGAAAGTAAAGTGTGCCAGAAAGTAATTGGAAGGAAACCTCTTTTTTCCGGGGGGTGGGGGGAGGTGAGGGGGGCTGGTCGGAGCCAGGAAATGTCAAGGAACCGAATCAGAGCTGATTTATATTCCATTTCTAGGCATCTTTATTAACAGAAACTCCACAGAGCAGCCCTACAAGCCGACTACCAGAGACCCCACAGAGCATCCCTGAGAAGCCGACTACCAGAGAGGCTGAGAAAGTCACACTGGATTCTGGATTTGACAGGAACACAACCAAATACATAGGAAGGAAAGTGCTTGAGTGTTCTCCAGCTTTCTGGGCTTTCCTTGTTTTCAAACTGGTCTGGACAATAGAAGGCCAAGAGCCAACAATCAAGCCACTCTAAGCTGGAAAGGGCCTCCTCTGAACACAACCAACTATTGCTTTAATCCTCTGCATTAAGTTTTTCACTGCAGTATGAAAGCTATGCATTCTGCATTCTCAGCTTCTGCAACACTAGCTAGAGGTGTGATTGCTGAGCCGGGGGATTAATTGGGCAGTTACTTAAGGCACTTTCAAAGCAGGATAGGAGATGTTTGGTTTTGCATGAATATTTTTAGATCCTACTAAAGATACTGCCTTTAATGGCTCTTGCTTGGAAATCTTGTTTTGATATTCTGAAAGTCCTTTCTTTCCCATATGTACTGCGGGAAGAGTCCTTCGATAATCACGACAGAACATGAATATTCCTTCTGTAGCTATGTTATCAGGCACATCAGCCGGCCCCAGAAAAACTGATGTCATGGTTCTGTTCCCAAGGGAACAGGGACAGTGGGTCCCCTATAAACAGTGGCTTTTGTTGACTCATTTCTTTTCCCCCTGACATTAAACTTGTGTGTGGTTGGCAAGAGTTTCTTTTTTTAAAATTTGGACATGGTTTCTGCCTCGGATCCTCTACACACGACTTTATTGGTTAAAGAGCAAGCAACAGGCACTTGTTTATACACAGCTACTTCAGCGGTGACTTAAAAAGGGGCTTCCCAGGGAGCAAAGCAAGCTAGGAAACATGCTGAATCCAAGCATCGTTTCCCTAGAGATGTTCAGTTCGATAAGTGTTTATCCTCCATACCGAATGGTTAGAAAAACTATCTGCACATGGAGGTCAAGCCCACTGTGGGCTCCCCATAAAGTGCCTCCCAAGATCTCCCATCCTGATCAGTGTGTGCATTCCCCACCCAGAAACATTTAACAAGCAGCAGGACCCGAACGGCACTCAGGGAGAGTGGGGCCTTGTCACTAGAGACAGAGAGACCCGCAGCAGAAAACAACCCTCAAGTGTTGGAGCCGGGTCATCTCTGACTCTTCCCGGAAGGAAAAGGAGCCCGTCTACACTCCTATCCCCACAGTCTACACTTGGAGCATCACAGTGCCTCAGAACATGGATACATAGCCACAGTACCATGTGTTGAAGGGTACAGTGGTTCTCAATGGGTAGGGGTGGGGATCTCAGGGCCTGAATTTTTTCCTTTTGCCTTTAAAGTCCAGACAGAGTAGGAAGTCAGTATTGAGTTCAAGGCCAGCCAGGACTACATTACAAGAAAGACCCTGTCTCAGCAAAGGGGGAAAAAAGTATGAGGCTAGGCATGGTGGTCCATGCCTGTAATCTCAGCACTCTGGAGACAGAGGCAGGAGGATCACTGCAAATTTGAGGCCAGCCTGGCCTACATAGTGAGTCCCAGGCAAGCCTGGACAATATAGCAAGACTCTATCTGAAAAAATGATATGAGATGGAAAAAGAGAAGGAAGGGTGATAGCAGGAAGGAAACGGAGAAACAAGAATGAGAAGGAAGAGGAAAGGAATGGGGAGAAGAGAAGGGAGAGGAAGAAGAGAAAAAAAGGACAGCATGGTATTCACAGGTAGAAAGTAACTGGCTCTCCACAAAGCAGCTCTCCACAAAGCAGTTCAACACCCCGGTCTCTAGGGGCTTGGCAGAGGATAATGGCGGCAATTATGAAACTACTGCCATAGTGTGCCGGCTGGGCTCTGCCTTCTGCAGACACTTCAGCAAGGAAAGAGGAAATCATTCAGGAAGCAGCAATTTTGCCGAGAAGCAAGCAGGAGAGGTACTGTTGGCTTATTAAAGTGACTAAGAAGGAACTGTGGGGAACAGGAAGGTTAATTCTAGAGTTCTTCCATTCCCTTTGAAATCTCAAATTCACCCCATCTCGGGTACACTTGAGCTCACTATATACAGCTCAATACTTGTATCTGATTCCAGGGGTGCAACCCAAGGCCTTGAACGTGCTAAGCAAGCCTCTACCACTGACCTACACCCCCAGCCCTGCGCGGCTGGCTCAGTGTAGTAACAAAGATCACAGATGGGCACCGCTTAGGAATGGGTGGTAGGTAGCTCACCTGTCTTCCTGCTTCCTCCTCCATGAAGTAAGGTTTATTTTCTACTGTGCTCAGGAGTGACCCCTCCCCCCACCTCTTTAGATCTGAGGCAGCCACCTCCCCCAGGAGGAGGATAACCATTCGCACAAGGGAAGCAGAGCCAAGAAAAACTCTGACTAGTGTGCTGGTGTCTGCCATAGTTCTACAGGAAAGAGGCTTGCTGCACAAAAGGTAGAGGTTCTGCCCAACGTATCAGATGCGGAGGTTCAGAGGTCCGACCATAAAGTGACCATCTTTTCCCCCTCCCCCCAGACAAGGTCTCACTACATAGCTCTGGCTGTCCTGCACAGGCTGGCCTCAAACTCAGAAATCCGTCTGCCTCTGCCTTCAAAGTGCTGGGGTTAGAGACGTGCTCCACTTCTGCTCTGCTGCTGCTGTTCTTTTTAAGTCTTATTCTGTAGCCCAGGCTGGACCTGGATCTTAAACACACACACACACACACACACACACACACACACACACACACACACACACACACACACACACACAGCTTAAAGCAGCCTCTAGCCTCCCAAGTTCTGGGATTACGATGAGCCACCAAACCCTCGCTCACAACAGCCGTCTTAACTCTCAGAAAACAAATCAAAGACGCTCTGGAGTGCGCTGTGGCGATCCCAACAGACAAATGCACACAGGCAGCTCAGCTGCGTCCTGCAGATGTGCGGTTTGAGTAGGACAGCTTGCGAACACTGCACTTCCAAGTCAGAGCCGCTCCAAGCCAAACCTCTCGGGCAGGGCACCGAGGGAGGGCTGGCCCGAGCCTTGATGGATCCGGGCTGTTACAGGCTGAGCAAGCTTAGGGACGGACGCACGAGCCTCATTAGTATCTCGGGCGCCAGGAGCAGGCAGGAGGCGGTGGGTCTGAGCGCACACTTCAGTAGAAACGCAGCGCTCAGGACTGTTACTCCAAGGTCTTACCTTACCCTCGCTCCTGAGTGTCCCCTAAACGGCCCCTTTGGATGGTTTTTCCTACAGAAGCAAGTCCTGGCACTGGAGCTGGACGGCAGGACACCTCACGACCAGCGACCCCAGTGCAATCCACTGGGTGAGCCCCGTTCCTAGGGGTGACGATCACGCCGCTCCCGCAGCCCCACACCCCCGCGCGCAGCGTAACATCCCCGGGCCCGCGATCGTGCGCCTCACCTCCTGCAGCAGGCGCTCCAGGTGCGTTTCGGCCCAGGTGGTCAGGGCTCCGGACGGCCCCGCACGCCGCCACAGCTCGCGTTCCTGCTCCAGCGCCGCCACTCGGCCGTGCAGTGCGGCCGCCTGGGCGCCCAGCAGCAGGCAGGCAGCGGCCGAGCCCACCGACAGCAACAGGCACAGCGCGCCCAGCACCCGGGCCCCGCAGCCCGCGCGAGGGTCCTGCACGCCTCCCCCGCCCGCCGGGCGCTCGCCCGCGCCCATAGCGTCCAGCCGGTTCTGCGTCGGCGCTGCGGCCCGGGGCGAATCCAGGTCGGCGGCTGCGGGGATCGGCGTCCCGGCGGCCGCGGATCGCGCACGCCCCCCTAGCCGCCCGCTCCAACTCAGCGGCCACTGCGGGCAGTTCCCTCTATGCAAATAGACCCCGCCAGAAAAGGCGCGGGGACCCACCCAGGGGAGGAGCGGCCGGTCGGGGAGGGCGGGGGCCCCCGGCGCTCACCGGCTCCCTGGCTCCGGGTCCTCGCCACGCTGGTCCCGGCGCGCGAGCCTCTGTGCCCGGCCGCGGCCACCCGAGGGGACCAGATGCGCCTTGTCTCGGCTCTCCTGCAGCCCTTCTGAGGCTGCAGCGCGGTTCGTGTCCTAGAAGCGACCCCCAAACTTGTGGATTGACCTTTCTGACACTTGCAAACCAAAACCTGGAACCCTGTGGGAAAGTTAGAAGTCCGTCCTAGACGGTCGCTGAGCGCCGCTTGGTGGCCGAAAGCGACCCCTGCATGTGGGCACGGAAAGACTTGGTAGAGAACCAGAGAAAAAGAAATAGAGGAAGAAAAGAAAGGATGAGGGGGGCTGGGGAGAGAGCACGCGAGAAGAGGGAGGAAGGAGGAAGGGAAAAGAAGAAGGGAAGAAACGGAGGGAAAGAAGCAGACACCTCTTAGTCAATGCTCTCACCGTTTATAATGTCAGGCATGGACACTAGACAGACATGGTCTCACTTTGGAGGGAGCTGCCCCAGAGGGAGCGTTTAGTTCGGGAAGCAGACGAAAATAAAAGGGCAAGGAGCTCCAAACTTTGTAGAACTTGAATTCTGCAGGGAAAAACTTGGACAAAACCGAAATCTGGAATGCACCAAACTGACTTAACTACAGTGATATCAGGACACCAACAGGGGCCAAAGAGAAAGCCATCCATTTACAGGGTGGCCAGGGAGGCTGAAGTTGGAACCTAGGTTTTAGCTGTCGGGGGCCCTAAGGCATATTTATAGGTCAAAACAGGTCTCAAGGAATTGTTGCATTAGTTCCTGGGATACCCATTTGAGAACAGCCAATCATGAACCTGGTAATGGGCAACTGTGATGGTTTTTAGATGACTTGCCACCTGAATCTCCTGTGGTTGTCTGCTTAATTCCTGTGCCTACATTATCCATTCTGTATTTGTTAAGACTGTTGAACTCCGCCCTCCCAACCCCCAGCAAAACTCGTACTCCCTTAATTCAGAGGGAAAGCACCCTGCCCTCGAGACCCACTGAACTGAAATGAAGCAAGGATGCAATTTCCAACAGCTTCTTAGCTGTGGCCTCAGGTAAAGTGAGTTCCTGGTAGTGATTATACATTCTTGGCCCAGTGAGAAAATTGAGTGTGTGCCCAATAAATACTCTGCAAACCACTTGTTAAGCAAACCCGGCAGCCTACTGAAGTCTCCGTAAAGAGGCCAACACTGTATTACAAGTTAACACTCATTCTCATTAAAAGGTAATTTCCCACTTCCTACCAGTGTTAGTGTTAATGGATACTGCTGTTCTAGAAGCTTCTGTGTATTGAACAGGCCAAGCTCATTGCTCCCCAGGCCTTTATTCTTATCAGCTATGTGGATTAGCTTCCTCTCAGACTGTGAAGAACAGGCTCCTAATCTTGAAGTCAAGGTTTCCAGAGCCTGTCCCAGACTGCCCAATCTAAGGTGGCCCCATCCTCAGGCCCCTTCATGATTAACTAGGGGATGGGGACATCTGTCCCTAGTTACCTTTTAACTGTATCCCCTTGTTTTCTCCTCCACTGTCTTTTTACAGAACACTATCTGGCCCATAGTCCACGCTCAATAAACACTTGGTAAGTAAATTAAGACAAAAAATAAGTTTACTGTCTGCAGTTCTCAATTGGAAAAGCGAGAATCTAGAAAACACTGTTACTTGTCAGTTGGGGTCCTAGAAGGAAAAGGCGGCACCCTCAGAACAGGTGATTGAAGCCAGCTTGACTGCAGACAGGCTTTACAGTGGCAAGGAGGGAAGCCAGCAGGGGGTGGGAGTGTTGGGGGAGCACTCTCAGGCTCACAGTAATGGGAAGCCATTATCCCTAGCAAACAGGTGAGAGAAGCCTGCTGGGCAGCCTGTGGAAAGTCGGGGACTCTAAGAAGTCATCTGCTCAGCAGGCGCTGTGACCTTTGGCTGAGGACACAGCCTTTGTGAACCATGGCTTGGTGGGAGAAGAGGCTGGAAGAAGAAATTATGTCCCTCTCCTGCTAGAGACCCCCACTGGCCAGTAAGAGCCGTACAGAGGGCAGACCCACAAAAAGCAGACAGAGGTCAGGTATGTACCCAACCTCTCATGCATTCAGTGAGCTACTGTTGCCTCTGAGTGTCAGTGTGTCAGTGATATACCCCTGCATGGCACTCCTCAGGGACCAACTGGCCACCTGGATTACTTTGGACTCTCCCAGCAAAGGAAGAGCCAGGGGTCCACAGGGATAACTATTTCAGTTATGAGCTGTTTTTCCAATTTACAGAGTCTCAGTCACCTGCACGATGTTCACATAACAGGCAATCTACAGGTATGAAATCTAATACCACACACCCAATCAAGCAATCTACTTATTAGCCAAAGAAGTGGGGTGAGTCCATGACCATGAACTCACTGGCTGAAGGAGTCAGTCTTGGAATACTGGAGCTGCCTCTGAGGCGCTGATGAAATAACTCAGAAGGGTGCAGTTTTGGGATGTGGCACATGATTAAGCAGGGTACCTCTCTGTGATGCTGTGTTCTTAATAAGAACATATGCATCAAAGAACTTAGGGGTGGAAGCAAGAATGGCACTATCAGCCATCACATGTGACCCAACTTCACAGCTACAAAGACCTGGCATTTGCTCTTCTCGCATCTCTGGGCTATGCGTGCCAAGGGAGCAAGGGACCCATGAATTGTGAGCTCTGAATTCTGTTCAGGAGGCTGAACGAGTAACTGAGCCTGACCACCAGGGAGTACTGCAATTCCACACCAGGGGCAGGGAGATACATGGGCTGCTTGACCATACCACTTTGCTGAATTGTAACTGGAACAGAAAAGCGCAATACCTTCCCCCAGCTGATACTCCTAGGTAACACAGACAACCAAAGGGTCTGAATGTGTTCACAATGTTGCTCAAGGTTGCAGGACTTTGTGTATTTCCAGCTACATCCTCCCAAAGTTTAAATTAAGTTCTAAGGTTTTAAGAGACAATTACATGGCCAGAGTGTCACTGAAGAAAAGTCACCAGGTCTTCACTCAGTGACTCTTGTCCTGGTCTACCAGCTGACAGTACAACTGAAGCAAGTACTACTTACCCTTCAGACCCTCAGTTTTCAGCTTTTTTAAAAAGCTAATGGGGACCATCTAGCTTTACTGTGTTCAAAACCCAGTAAACTACATGGCACATTGCAAGGCATGGGACATCAGCAACAGAAAGGATGGTGAGCCTTGGGAGATGGTAACAGGGAACTCAAGGACTCTGGAGACTTCCCAGGCCGTGGTGCAAGAGGGCCTCAAAGCCAGAGCTGGCCTACAGCTCTGGTAGTCTAGCCAGGGCAGGCAGTTCGGAGTTGCAGGAAAGAGAGCTGGAGATCTAGGCTCCCGGTGAGTAAGAAAACAGACCAGGATGATTGGAATTCTAAATGCAAACAAGCCCTACAGGCCAGGGGGTCTTCCTGCCGGCTAGTACAGAAAATCTGATAGATCAGATGTCATTGAGCACTAATGTTTTTTGATGGGGGGCGGGGAGGGGGGGAGGACCCAAACCTGGGGAAACTAACCCTAGACTAAGTATTGACCTAGGTCTTGCTTAAAAGCTTAAAACCAAAACCTGAAAAGATCAAATTGATGCAAATAAGCATGTAATGGCTGAAGTGTGAGGGAATACAAGCACAGACTAGTAAGGTACAACAGGAAACTACCCGGACCATATAGCAGAGATGAATAGAAGCAATCACAAGCAATCCAGAAATGGCAGGGACAAGAGAATTAGTGGACAAAGGTATCAAAGTGAGGACTGTATTCTTCATGCTCAAGGAACTAAAGGTAAGGAGCCATGACAGATATTTTTTTAAAAGACCCAAAACAAATTCTAGAAGATGAAAATTTGAAATTTTAAAGACAAAACAAAAAACCGCAACTCTGGGCTCGGAGCAATTGAGTACACTTGCTGCTCTCCGAGGACCCAGGTTTGCTTCCCATCATCCACAGGGTGGCTCACAAACATCTGTAATTCCAGTTCTGGGGGAATATAACACCCTACAGACATACATGTAGACAAAATATCCATATACATAAAATAAGAATAAATAAACCTCTTTAATCCTAGCACTTGGGAGGCAGAGGCAGGCAGAGTTCGATGTCAACCTGGTCTACAGAGTGAGTTCCAGAATAGCCAGGGCTACACAGAGAAGCCTTGTCTTGAAAAAACCCAAATGAAATAAATAATAAACCTAAAATAAGGAAAGAAAAAGAACACTTGCTATTATTGCAGAGAAATGGGTTCAATTCCTAGCACCCACACAGTGGTTCATGATCATCTGTAACTCCAGTTCCGGGGAATCCAATGCCCTCTTCTGGCTTCATGGGCACAGACATTTAAACAAGCAAAACACTTACAAACCTACAAAACTAGAAGGTGGCTAGAGAGTGGGGAAGAGTTCTTGCGCTTTGCAAGCATGGGGATCTGAGTTAAGAGTTCCTAAAACCCCCACAAAAAGCCAAGTATAACTTCAGCACTGTGTGGGGCAGAGACAAGATTAGGGCATGTTGGCCAGGTCAGACTAGGTCCAGGTTTGGTGACAAGACTTTCTCAAAGAAATAAGGCAGAGCATACTACAGCAGGGGACCCCACACTCTCTGGCCCAAGGGCATCGATCGGTGGGCTATGCAATGAAGACAACCACACAAGGCACAGTAAAGGTTGTTTGAACTGAGTGGTAAAGAAAAACCAACTTAAAAGCAATTAGAAAAAAAGAAAAACATGCAAAGGAACAAAACAGCAGGTTTCCTGGCCTCAGTACATATAACATACAGGGTAGAGAACCTTCCATTTTCATCAACACAACTCCAGACCCAGCCTGAATGCAAGGACAACAATGACAATGATACATACCTGTAATCCTATTACTCATGAGGCTGAGGCAGGAAGACCATGAGTTGAAAGCTTCAAGGCCAGCATGGGTTAATGAAACTGTCTCATGGGGGGAGGGTGTTGAAAACTCTCAGAAACACGAAAGCTAAAAGAATTCATTGTCATCATCACAGCCACAGTAAAGAGAAATGTTAATGCCATAACTCAGGGCAGAAGGAAAACCACACTAGAAATATGAACTTACACAAAGGAAACCCTAAGTCTCTGGATAAACATAAGACTCCTTGCTGTGCTGGTGAGGATGCAGGCCTGTGATCCCACACTTGGGAGGTGGGACAGAAGGATCAGGAGTTCAAAGCTAACTATGGTTACATAGCAAGTTCAAGGCCACCCTGGACTATATATCCTGTCTCCAAAACAAAACATTCACATCTTATAAAAATCTAGACATACTAGCTCTGGCCCCACAATGATTGAGGCAGGATGATCACCTTGAGGATTTTGAGGTATCCTGAGCTAGAGAAAGACCTTGTCTCAAAACAAAGCTATCTCATTAAGACACTTCAAAGGCTTAAAACAAAAATAGTGACACCTTGTATGACTTTATATGGCTGAATAGAATGCATGAAGACCAAAGCTCAGCAGAGGAGATGTCATCTCATTGTGCTGTCATTCTTGTGCTAAGAGGTAGGATGCCACATGCTGCTTAAGAGGATGCACACTCTGAACTGTCAAAGGCTGAATAGCTGCTTATCACCCAAGGCACCAAAAGTCATGAAAAACAGCCTAAAATAAGTTAAAGGACACATGACGGCTCCTTAACTATAAAACACAGGAAGGACAAAGGCCAGTGAGATGTCAATGTGTCATCCTGGCTGCGTCCTGTAAATATAACAGCCCAAGTATAAGATAACGTTTTGAGGCAAGCTTAGACTTAAAACATCAGATTTTTTTTTTTTTTGCTGATTTCGTTATATTTATTTGTTTGGAGGTGGGTGTGGGCCCAAGGCATGCATGACGACTCAGTTGTCAGGCTTGGCAGCAAATGCTTTTAGCCACCAAGCTACCTTGCCAGCCCAAACACAACTGTTTGATGATAGCAGTATTATACACACATATATATTTAAGTCTATTAAAATATAGAATTATGAACTATGGTATCTAACATTTGTATTTAAACATAACAGTAGACTGACTTAAAAAAATGCCAAGTGTTTTAATATTTTGAAGCTGAGCTATATATTTAGGGAGGGGGACTCATTCTATCTTACATTAAAAAAGGTTTTTTAGATGAAAAAAAAATTACTAATAAAGAACCAGCCTCCCCCAATAACTCAAGTATAGTCCTATCAGAGAACTTTCATCTTTTAAGAGCATAACATTCCTCTTAAAAAAACTAAAACATATAGGGAAGGAGTCTAGAGGGAATGGGAGATAAAAGGGACTAAGGAGATATGATCATAATCCAAGACTTAAAAATATTTTAAAAAATTACCTCCATTACAAATGATCCACATTCATATATCTGCCAGTCTAAGCCCTTTTCCTTTTAGTGCTGAAGCTGCAAACACTGTGAAAAGCAGTGAACCTTCCAGAATTTGAGTGCACCAATACAGGAAGGTAGGAGCAGGCAGCTGAGAGCTCAGAGGAGGTAATGCTCAGCAAAGCACATTTCCAGAATGACCACCCTGACCACTACTCATTTCTTCTACATACAGTAACTCCTAAAATGTGAATTAGAACACAAGTTAGTAAAACACCCTGTGAAGAATGTTAACTTTCAAAGGAAAATGGACTTAGAGACCGTTACTTTAAAAAAAAACAACATTGTTTTAGTTACGTGTGATTATGTGCACATTAGTGCAGCTGCCTAGATGTCAGAAGACAGCAGCTCTTGGATTTCCTAGAGCTGGAGTTATGTTTGCCTAACATAGTGCCGGTAATCTAACTCTGGTACTAAGAACAGTACATGATCTCAAGTGCTGAGCCATCTCTCCAGTCCCCAAAAGCAGCCATTGACTTTTTAGAAATGTGACCATCTTTCCTTTTACATCACCATCAGCCAATGAGAAGTTTTTGAAGATGGGACCCAGGAGCCCATGCTGGGGAAAGACAGGCTTAGGGGAAGCACAGGAAGCAGACTGAAGACTAGGATGGAAAATAAAAAATGGAAACATTGTGTAGCAATGCCAGTTTCAGGACTATCTTTAAACAGTGACTTTAGAAATGTTCTGAAGGTGGTGCATGCTGATATGTGGACTACAACAGAAGCCTAAATATGCTTTATGTGGAACTCTCTGACATGGAGCTATAGCCTTGAAGTTCCTAGTCCTACTGTACTAGGAAAACTGCCTCTAGACAGCCTGGCTTTACTACTTGTCATGAAGAAGAAAGAAAGCTCCACATATTTGTGGTTTGAAATATAGACAGATACAGCTCAAATTGGTCTGCAATGAAAAATTAAGATTTAAGTCTTAAATGATCTATGTTTGGCCTGATTAAACTCTGTCATGGACTAACTGGGTGTCTTTCCATGAGGGCCTGTGGACATCACCCAAAGAACAGAAAACAAAATTTAATGAAACTTTAGCATGCTAATTTTTCTGAGTTTTGGTTTTTAAAATCTGCCCACCTAGAACGATCAATAACCAATTACAAAAAACACCTTTGTCATGAAAAGTTCTACATTAGAGGTATATAAAGAATACTCAATCACACAAAGTGGTCAAGATTTCCTTTTACTCAAGAAAAAAAGAATCACTGCAGAGTCAACCTTCATGTACAAAAGACAAGACCAATCACATTAATTACTGGACACAAAGGGTATTCCAAAGGCCTTTAAAAATGGCAATTAACATCAAAAGGGAAAATTCACTTTAACTCATATTGCATTCATTATCAACACCATACTTAACAAGGTAGTTATACTATTGATACAAAACATACAGTATTTACACTTAACTGTACAAAATAATTTAATGTTTACAAAAATATTAGAATGTTTAGTTGACTGACACAGTCTTAAGTAATTGCTTCTAGAGAAGTATATAGGAAGACCACTGATTCCCATTCATTTCCTTTTTAATAAATCAAAGAAAGGGTGCTGCAATGCTTCATCCAAGGTAATCCTTTTCGTTGGGTCATACTCCAACATTCTTCGAACCAGGTCAAACAGCTTTTCATGCTCTTCATCGTGACACAGCATAAATTCCTGGGGAAAATGGTCTTGTTAAATGAAGACATGAGTGGAAATGTTACTTAGTCATAATCTTTTTTTCCTGTTACCTTTAATGGCTTGCAGCGTCTCCTAACATATCTCCCAGCTGAACTATGCTCATCCCAATCTAGTTGGTTATGGTGAAAATACTTGCGTTTCCTGTAAGAGAAAAGAAGTTGAAATTAATAAAATAAGCAAAATTCCACATCTGTCCCCTAGTGGGGACAAGACAGAATAGATCTCTCACTAAATGTACAGACATATAATTTTTACCTGTGTATAAGTCTTTAAAATATTGGCAACAATTATACATGACAACTTATGTGGGATCTTCCTTTTTCATGTACCCTGGGGAATTTGAGTTATCTCAACTAAGCTGTTCACAAATGAGAAAACGCTCACTTACACAGGAAGACTCTTGGCTGTGAATCACCAGATCTGGATGGAGATGGAAATCTTGTAACAACTTTCCAGGTGAGCTAGAAAACACTACACTATCCTGTTCAAGGGTTCAGAGCTGGCTAGCAACAACAGGAAATTCAAACAAGACTGACAGACTCCAGTAAGAACAGGCTCTCGTATGTATTGTTATCAACTTACAAAAACATCTACATAAAAGTAACCTGAGCACTAAAATTAAGTCCCCTTCTCCACAAGAGCACAAGTTAAAATACTGAATTATTTTTGAAAACGACTTTTAAATGCTAAGATTATAGCTCCTAGTAATCACTTGTACAAAATTTCTTTTTCCTTCTAAACCTACAGCCCTTAAAACAGGCATTACATTTTCTATAGTCTAAGCAAAGGCCATTGCATGCATCTTAGACAAACCTTGTCTTTTGAATCATGTGCACTGGGATGGGTCCTAATATCCGCTCCATCATTGCCAGGTGTTCCTTACTATCATGAGTCTAAAAAAAAAAAAAAAAAAATCAGGAAAAGGGAATTTAGCTCTCCACTTTCTTAGATACACATAAAAGAGAAAAGTAAAATATGTGCTGATATAAAAGGACTAGTCTAAGCCAGGCTGTGGTGGTGCACATCTTTAATCCTAGCATTCAGGAGACAGAGGCAGGCGGATTTCTGTGAGTTCGAGGCCAGCCTGGTCTATAGAGTGAGTTCTAGGACAGGTAGGACTATACAGAGAAACCTTGTCTTGAAAAAAAAACAAAACAAAACAAAACAAAAAAAAAACAAACCCAAAATTAAAAAGAACTAGACTAAGGCCAGAGGGATGGCTTAATGGGTAAAGAGCCCTTGCTGCCAAGATCATCCCTGGTCTCGATGGTAAAAGAACCAACCCCACAAGTTATCTTCCACACGTGTGCACTCCTTCAAATAAATAAATATAATTAATAACAACCAAAAGACTAGATTAGCCAGTTACACAATTAACATTATAAATTCTTCCAAGATGAACGATACTGAAAGAGCTAGGTTGTCTAGTGCAAACATAATACAGTCCAAGATAGACTGGTAAGATCTACGTAGTAAACAACATGAAAAGTGTCTAACAAAATAATGCAACAATTTCCATATCATGAATTATTTAACTAGACCATTTACTGACACTTATCCCAGGTAATATAGCCATTCCAACAATTTTTACCATAATTCTGAGCTTTGTTTAAAATTCAAAGAGATTAAGACAAAGGCACATAGCTCATAAATAAGCAAAGTTGACAACAAACCCAAGTCAAGGATCTTACTCAAAATTGACACGGCACAGAGCTGCTACATCAGAGAAGCAGAGCTATCCACACAGGTGAAATGGTGTCTAGTCTAGAGCAGAGGCTTTTACAATAGCCCAGTTTGTCAATCTTTGTTCTAGAGAGCAGAGACTGTGTGTTGTGTTTAATGTTTTTACAGTTATCAACTACAGGGCCCAAGCATATTGCCTTTAAAACATTATTACTGACAGGAATAAATATTCTTACTCCCACATTTGTTTTTGTTTTGTGAGACAGATTCCTTTTGCAGCCAAGACTGGCCTTAATTTCACTGGGTAGGTGAGGCCTCACAACTTGATCCTCCTGTTTCAGCCTGAGTGATAGAACTATCAGCAGGTGTCACCATGCCTAGTCAGTTCCACATTTTTATGTTTTTATTATTTTTATGTATTTGGAAACATGGTTAGCATAGATAGAGCAGAATCACAATTAGCCACATTGACACCAATATAAATTGGAAGAAGTTCAATAAAACAAAAGAGAAAAACCAGAACACTAACATGAACTCTGCATGAATTACACATTGAAGATGTCACACATATTCAAAACAAGTTACAACCTCACTAGTAGTAGGAATTCAATCAACTGTGGTTTCAGAAGGATGATATTTATGTTTTACTTTCAATAATGCTCTATGGGAAATCTCCAGTATGGAAGTTAAATATAAAGCATGTTTAACATAAAATTCATTCAAGACCATCAAATAAAACGTATTAGATACATACCTGAAAGACTGTGAACCCAAGGTAATACTCAATAAGAATGCAGCCTATGCTCCAAACATCACACGGCTGAGACCAACCTAAAGCTATTCAAAACAAACATAGGCATATTACTATGGAACAACTTTAAACTGCTGACCCTTCCCCACATTTGGGGGCTCTTTACAGTCTATCTGGGAGACCACAACAGCAGGATTTACAGTTTTAGTGCACGTAGCTCAGGCTGGTCTGGAACTTGGTATTTTCCTCAGTCTTACCAAGTGGTCAAATTATAGGTGGGTACGACCACACCTGGCCCCGATTTAGTCACTTTTGTTCATTCCACAATGCTCACCACTGGAAAACTTATAGAGCAATACAGTAACATTGGTAGACATTAGAATTTGAGTTCTGACAAAGTTTTCAATCACTACATCTCAATATATTTTTCCTCAGGTGACTAACTGTAGCCCTTCACCTCATTACTCAATGAATCACTTCTGATACTATGGAACTTCATCTTGCTTTTCTCACCCTTTCCCCAATGTTACCTGACTGCTAACATCTAAGGCAATTGCCTTCCCTCAACCCTCAACTGTAACATCCAACTGCACCTTCCTCTCTAATCTGCCTTCACCCTGGGAACATCACACACACACCCACACTTAGTATTCTAATCATCAGACTCCAGATTCCTTTTCTAGTGACTCCAACTTCACATCTGTAGCAACAATATCTCATCTGTCCTGTTTCCAAGCCCCCAATTCTATCAGTGACTTCTAAGTTTTGAGGTGTAATATATACCCTGAGTTTCAAATTCTGCCCTTTCACTTCCAGCTTTCTCCCACAATGGCTAACACAGAAACTCTTGCTTAAGTCTCTTTCCTCTGCTCCCTATCTATCATTTCTAAGTCAGCCAACAAAGTCCTGGGCATCTGTACCAGAGCCTTATTTTAGCGATAGAGTGGAAATAGGTGACTACGTAACCTTACAATCACAAGACTATGATGCCCTTACTGAACATACCCACTGTTATGATCACTTGAGGTTTACAAATCATTAGCATTTAGAATACCTTTCACAAACACTGTCACACAGGAGAAACCTACAAAACTCATTTCTATATCCTGCTAGCATCATTTTAGTCAACCATGACCTTCAACAATTAAGAGTGTAAGGAAGTCTGGTATCTACTAACCCAAAATGACCTCTGGAGCTCTGTAGTGCCGTGTGGACACCAAAGTACTATGATGTTCGTCATCATATGTTGCACTTCCAAAGTCAACAACTTTGATATCTGTGTTTTTCAATGTGCGCTCATCTCGTTTCTAGAGACACAGTTGAGTGAAGATGAAATTCAATAAAGACATAAAACATTCTATAGCACTACTCATAAAGCTTGCAAATGAATCCTCCCTCCTCTCTCCCCAGCTGGGATACAAACATCCTATTTCTACTCCATTTGTGGATGAACATCAGATATAAACAGGCTCAGAAGTGAAATTCCTCATTCAAGGATCACCAAGCTAAATTAATTTTAAAGACAACACCCAAAATTAAAACAAGTCTTTAACTTACCATTTTAGAATTGTACTTGACTACATAGTCAGACTTCACAAATAAAATATTTTCAGGTTTTAGATCTGTATGAGTCAATTTATTATGATGTAAAACTACAAAGAAAACAGAAAACCATCATTAGTCTTAGAGATTTTTAACCAATGCTAGGATATGGGGTCAAAAGGGATTTCAGCTTTACCTGCAACCTGATTAGATAATAAAGACAATAAAATATACCGTGTACTCACGAATACTTACAATTTATAGATTGGCAGATCTGATAGGCCATTTGCCTGATGTGATCAATTTGAAATGGCAGAAAGCTATTTTCTTTAATAAAATCATAGGTACTAAGTCCCAGCAGCTCAAACACAATACAAACATGACCATGATGATCAAACCATTCTAGCATCTGGACACATCGGCTAAAAGAGATCAAAATAAAAATTGAGTGCACAGAAGCGCGCAGCTCACACAGTGTGACAGCTTGTGGTTCGATGTACACTTACAAGACACTGTTGGGGTCAGTGCTGTTCAAGTGCTCCAACACTTGGATTTCAGAGCGAGCTGCCTCCCGGTAACGGCCTACATTTTTTACAATTTTCACTGCTACATGTAAGCCATCCCTTAAAAACAAAAGATGATGCTGCTAAATATACAAGTGGTGGGATAAAACTACACACCCTGTGAAATGCACATTCTTTTGTTGTTTTGTTTTTGAGACCAGATTTTACTCTATGTAGCTTAGGCTGGGCTTAAACTCATTATGTAGCTCAGACTGACACTGAACTTGTGAAACTCCTACCTCAGCCTCCTAAAATACAATTGTAATTACAACTTTCCCATATTATTGTTCTAAATCTTTCAGAGCACATTAATACTAGGTTCCAGAACATCTTTTCAAAACAAAGCAATCATTCATATAATACTTAGGAGTTTTAACATTTGCTTTTAAAAATTTACATTTATATTTTGTACAAAAATTTAAAAGTAAAACACACACACACACACACACACACACACACACACACACACACACACACAAAAAGAATCAGAGTATGTTGCTATTCAAAGCACTTGTCTATTTGCTAGGCTGGATCTACTTTGTGTTAGAGACAAGGCACAGGTGCTAGTGCTAGTACTCAACTATGGGACTCACTCCTACATGCCTCACTCTAATGACAAAGGCAGATGAGTATTAAGACATTCTCACAAAAGATGAAGCCCCAACTACTCATACAATAAAATAGCAATTTATACAATGATACAGAACCGATTGCTGTGAGCCTGTCAAACTGGGAGAGAAATAAAACAGCTGAGTAAAGACATTATCTACAAGTTAGTGAACCCCACCCACCCCCCAAGCAGACTCATTCTTGCAATTACGTACAAATAGCTACAGCAAGAGTAGTGGGACATTTCCAGGATTAATTCTTAAAGAGTATAAACAGTATTTAAAGAAAATCATAGACAATGGAATGAAAGGAAATTTAGGGCTAAAACTTTTTCTGGCTAGTGATGGAATCAGGACCTTGCCCAAGTTAGCCAAGCGCTTTACCACTAAGCCACACACCAAGCTCAACAATAAAACATTTCCAAGTATGAACTCAAGCAGTCTGATCATAGATCAAGTGGCTATAATACTAAGAGTCATCAAATATGTTTAAAGACAGATAAACTTTACTTTCAAAACTACTAGCTAGGCAGTGGCGGTGTATGCTTTTAATCCCAGCACTCGGGAGGCAGAGGCAGGCGGATCTCTATGAGTTCGAAGTCAGCCAGGTCTACAAAGTGAGTTCCAGGATAGCCAATACTACACAGAGAAACCCTGTCTTGAAAAAAATCAAAAAACAAACCAAAACAAACCAAAAACGCGCACCAAGCACACAAACAAACAAACAAACAAACCCCAACCCCGCCCCAACTACTGATATATACAGTAAGCTGGAAAATTATACTCTTTCCAACTATTTCTGATGAAAAAAAATTCAGATGTTATTTTAGAAAGGTATAGCTTCACTAAATTATTTTAAGACACTTACAAAAACAGTGGTGAAACGACAGAACAGAGGTTCTGAACGGACATGGTGCAATGAGGTAGGTCAGTATATCCCACTAAAGAATGCACACTTCATAGGTCCTAACAGACTTTCTCTGTAGTTTAGGAAATACATTTTAATATGCAAATTTGGGTGTACTTTATTGACTCTGCAATCTAAAAGCCACTGAACCCTACAGAACTTGAGCACTCTAATTACAGAGTAACCTCCATCTGAGAGAAACTGCCATCGCACAAAACAAAATTAATACTTATGGCACATAAATGATATTGAGTTCCAGAAATTAGGTTGAATACCTCTCAGGAAAGCTCATAGCAACTACTTTAAAATACATTTCATCAGAACGTTCAAAAAAAAAAAAGCAAACTTACATGCCATGGTCAATGCACTCTACAACTTTGCCAAAGGCCCCTTCACCTAAAGTGTCCACGATTTCATCTAAAGTGAGGAGAGAAGGAGAGGTCTAAGTGTCCGAGTACAATTATCCAGTTGTTAAACAATGAATGCTTAAGTGTGGCATATTTCCAAATGATCTCTAGCAAAGCATAACTAAGGTTTCATCGCTCAAGTTATTGTATTTTCAGCTGCTACAAAGCAATTAGATAGAGCTATCTGTCTTGCTCTAATCTCAAACTCCACTGATTATTTTGGAATTTTAAGAATAGAAATATTTAAATTCTACAGAAAAGAAGAAATACAAAAGAACAAACAAACCCACAAAAAACAAAACAAAAAAGCAATGAAGAGTCTTTAGCCCCCCGCTGACAAACTATTCTTTAAAAGATTATTCTGTCTGCAAAGTTTAAAAAGTGTTGAAAAATATTCTATACATCTTGCTCTTAGAACGTCTCCACTTTGACAGATCAGGTGACCCTCCTCATCATCCTCTATACTCCTGGATCTTTTCCTTCGGTGGCTCTTCTGGAACGGCAAGTGGGCAGCACCAAGATCGTCCAGCCAATCAATATATCAGAGTGAATTCAGGGCAGAATACGCAATTCATTCAGCGGGGAGATATTCAGGCATTCAGATAAGCACCAGGCCACGAACAGTTGGCAGGAGCAATTTCAAATTCAGTCCCCAGAAATTCACAGGGCACAGTTTATGTTACAGAAGAAAAACATGGCAAGGAACAGATTTTCAGATAAGATACTTAAAGTGGCAATAGAAAAAAACAACACAATTGTCTCTTTAAAATACTGATTTAATTGAAGTCTGAAGTTTAAAGAATGCAATGTCAAGATTTACTATTTCTGCTATAACCATATGCTGTGAGTTGAGTTGTCTAGTCAGTCAGAAAAATGTCAAGATTAGTTGAAATTTTTCTCTTTTAGCAACATTTAAAAATGGACATCAAAGTAAGAGGGGGAAGTAAAGGCTAATTTCAATCTGCAATCTAGTAAATGCTAGTTCTATAGGAAAAAACTTGGAGAGGGAAATGGCATCTCAAAATTTACGAATAAGAATGTCTGGCTTTCTCAATTTATTTCCCACTCAGCACCCAGGTTCACAAATTCAGCAAAATGAACTGCAGACAATGCTGTACTAGGAAAACGAGGTGCTAGACTACACACTAGTCAGCAATGGCTAAGCACCCAACAGTGTGACCTGCCTGAGTTGTTTCCAATTATCAGTAAAGCAGATTCTTTCAAAATAAAAAAATGTTTATATTCAAAGAAAAATATGGGTGCCTCATTTTTTAAATATACTGCAAGACCACAAAATAAGATATTTTTACTATTAAAACCAACAAACTCATAATCTGGTTTGCAGAATGAGTAAGTGTGGGCAAGTGAAGACTAGCTAATACCCAGGTGTCAGTTATGAGAATGTGTTCACTTCCTTTAAGGGTTCAAGTAATATGAATATAAATTACAGCATATCCAAATAGCATTAAAGAAACTTTTAGAAACTTAATCACTGTTCTTTTAGAGCCTTACAAACAAGAATCCACTCAAAATAAAAACAAACCACTCATACCGAATGTGACTGATGACTTGCACAGTGTCTATTATGCTTCCTTTTAGGGCTGCTTCTCCTGCTTCGGATTGAGGATTTACTGCAGTGGGTTCGGTAAGTGCCTTCAATGTCTCTATGGTAATGTCTTGGAACATATCCTTCGCAGTACTCATTTCTATACTCATCAATGTATCTCCGGTCCCGATAATCTCTTTGATTCAAGCACCTTGCTTCTAAATAGTGACTGCAAACACATTAAAGGATTTCAAATTATTCTCTTCATTCTGGAATAATGTGGTTTCAAACAAAATTCTCAAGAATTCTTGGCTTAAATGGCTAACTCAATAAAAGGAACGATTCAGATCGATGAGATGAAATTTATGCTTATCTCAGCTTAATAACTTTAAACAAATAGGTCTATATTTTTCATATATAATTTCTATAGCCAGGCATGTTGGTGCATGCCTGTAATCCCAGCACTTGGAAGGTGAGGGCAGGAGGATCAAGAATTCAAGGTCATCCTGAGGTACACTGCAAGTTTGAAGCCAGTCTGGGCCACATGAAACCATCTCCAAAAAAACAAAACAAAACAAAAAACCAAAACCAAAACCAAACAAAAAACAAAACAAAAAAAAAACCCACCCCACACAAACAAACAAAAAATCCCATACATTAGAAAATTACTGTCAACAATTCATGCCAAGGAACAAAGCCTCAATTACAATATACTTATAATTAAATGTTCCTTTACCTCCTGAAAAATCAAGACCAAGCCCACAAACCTGTTCTGAAATGCACTGATCTTACAACATAGGAACCTGAAACTGGCTTCCTTTCCCTCTCCCTCAGAGCCACACATTTAGAGAAAGGCAAAAGGTTTCCTTTCCCCTTTAATGTAAGTGCATTTTGGATATCCCCGACAGACTTCTTCCATATTATGTATCACAGATGCGAGGAGCCTTAAATGTCTTTCAGCCCTTTCATTTACTGACTCAGTTAAGATCCCTAAAGGATATGCCATTGTTGCAGAGCACACTAGTGGCAAAAACTAAGATTTTTCAAGCTGTCACTACCACCTTACATGTCACCTATTCTATCTCCTCTCTTTTCTAAGTTTTCTGTTACCCGTTTGAGAATCAGACACCAGAACTTCTGAGGCCTGCCTAGTGTGCCAAACACATCTAAAACTGACCCTCCTAACAAGAAAGGGTCCAGGACTGTGGACATCCATTCTGTTTGCCTTTGCATCTCTTATATTTTTTTGTTGTGAGCCTAGCCTTTTAACGGCTGAGCCATCTCTCCAGCTCGAGTTTGCATTTCTAATTTCCTGTGACTCTTGCAAAATACCCAAGATACAGAAAAGAAAACAGCATTTTCTAGTGCCACAGTGCTTCTCTAGATCCCTTTGAGAACCTGATGGGATAGGTTGTAGACCCTTTTCCCCAAGAAATGTACAAATGCATAAACAAAACTTGGCAAGAACTTCATGGAGGTCATGGACCTCAGGAAGTCAATGGATCCCAGTTAAGTGTCCTGATCTGATGGAAAGAAAAGGACAGATTCAATTGGCCCAGTTTCCCATCCCCCCTCTACCTGGGATGAGTGTCCTCTTCAACAGAGTGCGAAGCTTCAAGAGGGATGCACATGGAGCACTGAGGGAGAGAGGGGACACCTGCCCAGTCAGACAAATCAGCTAAATAATCCTGACAAGCAATGGAGTGACAGATGTTGCTGAGGCTGACCCCACCAACCCCTTTACACTCCCCAGAATATGCTGTCATTTTCTTCCCAAGTGCTGGTTTAAGCAGAACTAGAGAGAAACATCCCTAGGACAACTACTCAACAGGACCGGCACTAATTCAGGCTGGGCCTTCTTATTGCCTAGCACCATTCTCAAGTTCTTCCTGACCTCTGGAGAAACAACTCAGGCTATTAGGATAAAACTCTGGGCCTGAGTCAGTTGGTCTAAACAGAGACCTAGATGGAACACAACAAGCTAGATGTCATACTTCTAAGGGCATCCTATTTAATTTTATAAGGTATTACACCCACCTCTACCACATCCAAAAGTCTACCTTAAAAAACTAGACTGATAATCTTTAACTGGGATACTATGTGAAACCGGCCCTGCTGACACTCCAATACAATCTACCAATGATAAAAAATGGGGTGGTGATGTACTATCGTTAAGTAGAACTAGCATGAGAAGGACTTTTCCAGTTTATGACAACCAAAGACCAAAGGTTAAGATTAAAGTCTACAGAATTATACAAGCTGTGGACAGGGTAGACAGAAGAACAGATTTGATTTTTAAAAAATATCCACTGATTGCCTAGTAAATATTTCATTGTAGCTTTTCAAAACAGCCCAAACTGTTGAGTGCACTGACATTTGCTTTTATTTCCACACAGGTCCTGTGGGAGATAAAATAAAATCATATAAGGCAAAGTCTCTGCCAACAAATGAACAATTTAAGATTACTCACAAAAAAAAAGAAGAAAAGAAAAAGAAAAGGAAAACTCAAAATAGACAAATGCAAAAAAATGTTGAAAAGGTGCAAATGATCGCTTAGACTCAGGGAAGCAAGGAATTCAATTTGGGAAGAATTCATGACAAAGACGGAAGCAGATAGGCATCTTAAAGGAAAGCCAGGATTTGGACAAAGTGGACAGTAGAAGAAATTCCAGAACAGCATAGGGCCATCTTATATAGAGAGCACCACCAGCCAGAGGCTTAGAATGCGTGTATCTACACTTTACTCTGCAGACAGCAGGTAGATGACTGCATCAAGAGCCAATTTTCACCCAGGAGAATATGTCACTAGAAGCCCCCCCGCCCCCAAACTAAAGGTGTTTATGAAAGGACAGTGTACTAGCACTAATACTGAATATAGTTTATAAATGAGGACCCAGATCACACTGAGTCTGAATCTTAGTCTGCATACCTCCTAGGTGATTTCTAGTTTATCAAAGGTATAAAACTCGGTATTCTGTGTTATGGGGCGACACTGAAGGATTTTGGATTTAATATATAAAGATTATTTACAGCTATGTTAGTCTTCTGGGTATTAATTAAGCCTCCTGAAAAAAGAGATCAACTCACAGGCTACTGCCAAAAGATTTATCAGGGGGAAAAGGCTTTATAATTCATGTAACAAAGGGCTAAAATAATTAATACATAATAAAAGTCTTGTAAATCAGTAATAAACATACTTTAACATAAAACAATTGATGTAAAAATTCTTCATAAAACTGAACAAATTCACTAGAAATTTAGAAATTCAGATTAAGAAAACAATTTAAAACAGACAAAACTAGACAGCATGAAGGAGCATGTTACAAGCTTTCTAGAAAAAGAAATGAGAATATGCAACAAGAACCTTGTGAGACTTCATACCCTTTAACTTGAAAATGCCTCTTCTTAGAATCTACTTTCAGGCAAAGATTTGCACACAAAGATCCTTTAGGAACAGACAGTGAGAAGTAATTCAGTCAAGTAATGGGCAATGGTTTCCATCCTGCTCCTTTCTTATGCTTTGCTGCTGCTTCAATTTCCCAGTAATTTTGTTAAAATATTTAGCTTTCAAAAAGTATTTTTTTTTTTTACAATTAATGAATATTCTGGATTAGGATGAATAACCACCACCAAATTTGTCTGGTGTCAATGTCAAAGATGGCAGTGCTGGCTTACTGGCTATTTGGACTGACTTGGTTTTTATAGTTAATTATGAACATAAATCACTGAAATCAACCTTTACACATATATAATATACACTAGCACTATGAATAATTAGTTGTAAGAGGGTAAGCCTTACAGAGTATTTTGTACTTTTGCATATTGTAATAATGGGGTACAATTTGTATTGTGTACTGTTCATTAATAAGATCTGGCCATTGAATCTTGCCATAAACCTTACCCCTTACGTAACTGTTTGATAAAGCGTGATTACTGTACAAGAACTACAAACAAGCTCTTTGGCAGAACAACTCTTGTTTAGCACAGAGAAGGAAAAAAAAATTACATACTGTTTTTTAAAGTAACCCCAGCTGGCTAATTTAGAAAGCAATCTGGTAACCAGCCCCCATCGAACATCTGTACAAACAAGGAGAAAACATAGAACCAACAAAACAAGTGAGAAAGGGAAATTAACGGAAGGCAGAGTGAAAGAAACTACTCACCTAGCCTTTCTTTACTAGTTAGAACTAAGGTTCTTTTAATTTTTTTAACATATTGCTTCCAAATTTTATATCATAATTATAATAAACAAGACTTCCCCCCATTTTTTTTTAACTGAGGCTCTATCCTAAATGAGCCGAGAATGCCCGTGGAAAGAAATAGTTCTCAAAATATAGCAAGTTTCTAAAAATCTCCAACAGACATACCCATTAGTTTTCTTCTATAACTATAACCCGTAGAACATGAGTGACTAAAATCCCCAAAGCACTTGAATGTTCTCAAATAGCATATGCTGCTTTTCTCACCTGGATTAACCACCCTCTATGACATCTCAATTGTGAAACACTTTTTGCACACCCAAATATACATACCACCTTCCTATACAACTTAAAACCACTACTGGGTATCATTATTATTCAACTTTGTATGTTACTGAATATATTTTTTTGCCTCCCCTCTCCTTTTCTGATGAAGGGGTTTCTAAGGATTTTAAATATCACGCATAGTAGGCACCAAGTGTTCTAGCATTGAACTACATACATCCCCAGAGGCCTTATTTCATTCACTTGCTGAGCATCTGTCCCCCACCATTCCCAGTCAGACATATGAGAAACTATTTTATTCACAGATATAGTCCAAGCACTATAGAAGCTAGCCAATTATTGCACTCTGTAACTGTTTTTGAAATAAACTTGTTGCCTGAATTCTAAATTTGATAAAAGCTATATAAGCAAATGATAAATTGTTAAAACTGTTAGAACTTAAAATACAAGTCATTTACCAATCAGAGTCTTTAAACTGATGATGTGGTTTACAATGCCTGTTTTCTTGTGTACTACTGTGAGATCTCCTCTTCCGTTTGTGACTTCCACTGTAGCTCTCATGGCCCCAGCTTTCTCTGTTATCCCAATCAGGGCAGTGAGTTCGTTTGGAATGCCGCATCTGTTAATCAGGAGGAGGGGTAAAGAATGAGCTGGAAAGCTAAAGATGATTGTATAATTATACATAGGGCCACACAGGCTCTTAAAAATCTTTTTAGTTACATTTCCCAAAGCTTAGAACACAATACCACTGCTATGTGAAATGACTGAAGAATGGAGCTGATCTAATACTAAATGATGGACAACATTGAGCCTTTAATACATTTCTTACACTACTTAGTAAAAGGACAAATCCACAAGTTAGTTTGCTTTCAGAAATACTCATTAATTTTTTTGCTTGCTTTGTTTGTTTGTTTTGTTTTGAGATAGGGTTTCTCCCTGTAGCCCTGGCTGTCCTGGAACTCTGTAGAACAGGCTGGCCCCAAACTCAAAGAGATCTGCCTGCCCTTGACATCCAAGTGCTGTTATCAAAGGCATGCATCAATGCATCTGGCTATCCTTTAAATTTTTTTAAAAAGGGTTAAAATTAAAATTGCTCAAGGGCTGGAGATTACTCAACCAGTAATGTGCATGCTGTGCAAGTATGAGGACCTGAGTTCATATCACTCACATCCATATTAAAAGCCAGACATCATAGCTCAGAACTGTAATTCCAGACCTGGGGGGGGGGGGGAACGGACGGACACAGATCCCTGAAACTCGCTGGCTAGCCAGTTTAACTTAATTGGCAAGCTCCAGGTTCAATGAGATACCCTGCCTCAAAAATAATGCGAAAGCCATGAACAAACATACCCATGTTGACCTCTGGTCTACACATGAACCAGAATGTACATATCCACCCCGACACACAAAATAGTTCAAGCTTAGACAAAGCATTTAGGCAGAAAGTGATTATTTCTTGTTACCTTCTATTTATGCTTATGTTTTAATTAGGTCACTCTTACCAACTAAGCTACAATCCCACCTCTGAATTTGGATTTCAAAAATTAAGACTGAAATGAATACACAGATCTGAATATAAGAACAGCACCTATGGGCTGGAGAGATGGCTCAGCAGTTAAGAGCACTGACTGCTCTTCCAGAGGTCCCGAGTTCAATTCCCAGTAACCACATGGTGGGTCACGACCATATGTAAAGAGATCTGGTGCCCTCTTCTGGCCAGCAGGGACACATGCAGGCAGAATACTGTATACATAAATAAATCTTTAAACAAACAAAAACAACAAAAAACCCAGCACCCTCGCTATAGTTAGGGCTAGTTCACACCAAGAGTATCACAAATGTCCTTCAGCCTGGCAAAGTATAATACAAATAATTAGAAGAGAAGCAAGGAAGTGACTGGTTAAAAGGTAAAGAGCCTTTCATTAATGAGGTGTCTTTTTCTTCAAACTCTGTAGAGTTGTTTTCTCCAACTGCCAGAATTGGACCAATCCTCAAACTGAGGCTTGACCAGTGACATCGGATAATAATGGTAACAATGCCCAGACTTCATCTACAATTTCCTATGTACAGCCTGGCTCACTATCTAACATTTACCCCTTTTACATGTGTGTGAATGCTGTATGCCAGCGTTAACGAGGTCAATGGACAACTTGCCAGAGTTAGTTTTCTCCGTTCATCATGTGAGTCTCAGAGATCAAAGGTATGCACTTTATTCACTTAACCATCCTGCTCTCCAGAGCAGTTTTGTAAAAGATTCATTTTTTTTAATGGGGGGCGGGGGGGGGGGGGGGGGGGGGGGGGGGGGGGGGGGGGGGGGGAGAAGCTGCACATGAGTAGTGTAATTGCCCATGGAAGCCACAAGAGGGCATAAGATTCCCTAAATCTATAGTCAAACTAAGGTCCTTTACAAGAGCAGTATACACACTCTTAACCTCTGAGCCAGTCTCTGCAGTTCTAGTTAAATCTTTAATTCTGAACTCTGCGAAGCAGAGTTTAAATGGTGTGTGTGTGAGAGTGAGAGTGAGAGAGAGAGAGAGAGGAGAGAGAGAGAGAGAGAGAGAGAGAGAGAGAGAGAGAGAACACGATAACTTACCAAAGGAGCTGAATAAGACACAAATTTAGTTAACCACCTTCAGCTTGCCTAAATGTCTGAAAAATATGCCAACAAATCTATTTAAACCCCAAGCGTGGAAAAAAGGCAGTTTCAGTTCTCTCCTCCAAAGTGCTCCTAAGAAAGGGTGTGCATCACACCATAGGGTGTGATATCAATATTCTTTTTTTTTGTCCTGACTACTGAGGATGTAATGGGGGATGAGGGAGTTCCTAATTGCCAGGCAAGGATTCTACCACTGACCTGTATCCCCTGCCCAAATATTCAGTAAATTCTATTCTCTTCCTTCTAGTTCTGTGTCTATCAGGCATCTTTCTGATAATGTGGCTTCTCTTTTAGCTCAGTTAAAAGAGAAAGGATGGATTAAGCCACACACATCTCTAGATTGTTGCTAGGTGTCTCAGTAAAAGAAAGCCAAGCATTCCCTTTGATATAGTTATTTCAACATGGCAAAGTACAAAAATAATAATAATTTACTTGAGACAAAAGCCAAAAACTCAAACTTTCTTCAGAGAAGTACTCATCTTTCTATTTCTACGGGCATTCTGCTGACCCATTCCTTCTATATCAAAATTGTATTTTAACTACATTTAGGTTTTGGTCCGATTAAGCCTTTTTTTCTCCATTTCTTTGGGAACTGAATCCTGAATCTCAAGTTAAACTAAGCACTATCACTAGGCTACAGGCTCTTAAATAACAGCAGGCAAATTCACAGCTTCTGATGACTCATCAGACCGTCCCTTATGCAGGGTTTCACAAGACTTACTGCTTGCTTCAGTGTCCTCCCTGCCCCCAACCCCGCTTCTATTCCACACCGCCACAACCCGTTTACCTCTTACCAGACAGAATTCTCAAGTTATACTAACATGCAAACATTAAAATTAAAAGGGATTCCTCAGGAGAGGCCAAGAGCTGTATTCCTCTAGTTAGATTCACTACTTAAAATCCAGCAGTTGGTCCCAGTCCCAACCACTCCCGCTGAACATCCCCCATCCCCACTTTATCTCCAGCAAAGGTCAGAAATAATTTTCTTAGTCAGGTGTGGTGGCACATGCCACTCTGGGAGGCAGAGGCAGGCAGAGCTCTAGACAGTGGGTTCGACGTCAGCCTGGTTTGCAGAGTAAGGCCTTGTCTCAAACAAACCAACAAATATTTACTTATAAGGCAAAGTAAAAGATTTTTGGGCTCATATATGATTGAAGTTCCTTCTCATACACAGGAAGGAAAGCTACCTTAAAATATTACACTGTCTCTAATACTTAAAAAAAAAACAACAGCCCTACCTACATGCTAGAATTATTGGTATCTTTCAATAAAATAATGCAATGGAACCAATATGTATATATACATATTAGAAATATGGTTCGCCACCATCCTTTTAAAAACCATATGTTATCTGTCAACTCCACACTAAACACACGGATTAAAAACATCAAGACATGAGTTTCCAGTCTCTCCAAGGGCTGCATTTTGTAAGTGGGGAACAGGAGGCCCCTCGGGTGCTTGTTCAAACTTGGGTCAAACAGCCGCAGCTCTAACAGAAAACGAGGCGACTACCGGTCCACGGGGTTTGGAGGGCCGACAGACCTACTTCAGCAACAGGGCTGTCACAACGTAAAAGCAAGGTTCGTTCTCTGCAACGTTGGTATAGGGGAGGGGCGGGTTAAAAAAAAAACAACTAACCAAACAGGCTGGGCGTGGCGCCGGCCGCCTTTAATCCCGTCCTTCGGGAGGCAGAGGCAGGAGGATCGCCGTGAGTTCGAGGGCTGTCAGGGAGACCCAGGTCTTTGGGGAGGGGAAAAAAGCCCCGCCTGCCGCAAGGGACGAGCCTTCTTTCCCAAGCGTCTTCCTCCGAGCTGGGGGTGAGCCCGGGCACCTGGCTGGCCGCAGCGGCGGCCCCACCTCCCCCGGGCACCTGGCTGGCCGCAGCGGCGGCCCCACCTCCCCCGGGCACCTGGCTGGCCGCAGC